CGCCCCTCGCACAGTGATTGCTGGACATGGGCACCAGCGACCCCCGTGACCCAAAATGGAATAAGCGGGTAAAGAAAATGGATGGATGGATGGAAACATAAGAACTGGGCTGAGGATGGGCAGCCATTTAACTCGACCAGCTGGGAAAGAGCGGACTGGAAATAATACAGACAAGCACAAAACAGCTGGTCCATGTGTACTTTATATGTACGCTAAATTGTAAATTATGTTTGTTAATTTTTTTAAATTATTGTAAATTCACTTGTGGTTTCCTAAAATACAGTACATATAACATTTTTAGAAATAGCAGAGAAATGACTGAACACATAAAACATGAAGAAACAAACAAACAAACAAAAAAACAAGCTGGAAGTTTTGTATTTCTCATTATTCTGTTTCACAGTGTGAAATGAAAGATTTATTTTTCTAAATTATCTATCACCTTTCTAGTTTTTCTTAACATGACTTTCAAATTAATAATAAGCAGAAACAGAAATTTACGTCTTGTTTTGTCATTATCACATATACATGCTCTCAGACATTTTCTGTCTTGCCTGTAAAGAATGCTCCTGCTTTGTCCACATTATTTAAGTTTTTTAATCACACATTTGGATGAAATGATAGATGTTTCAAAATCATTAGCAATAATCAGAAAGTTAGGAATAGAATGGCTCATTTGAAGTCATTTATTAGAATTACTCTTATGTGTAATGGGTCAAAATCAATAAACCAGATTTATATTTCCAAATCAATACCAACTCCCCGTCCGAACTGGATCATTAATCAACCTGTTCCAGCTTTATCTCCTCATCGTCATTCCAGTCCATGCAGGTCTGAGTTCAAGCAAAGACTGAGCCTTCTGATTCTAAACACTAAACCCAATTATTTACTTTCCAATGAAGTCAAAGGGACACAGATAGTGGCGTTTATCCTGCTGAGTTGGATCGACTTGACCCTTTGCTACTAATTAACAACCAGAGGAAGAAGAAAAGAAGTAATCAGAGCAATCAGCAGCACGTGTTTATATATGCATCACCATCGAGGCTTCAAATGTTTTTCTTTTGTTACATTCAGCTGGAGGCCACACATTTAGTGATTTTATTTACGACAAACAACCTCAACCAACACAGAGAGCTGAGATAACACAAGACATGATGAAGATTAAAAAAAATCTGAGTTTGGAATATAAATTGCTTTGTTAAAGATTTGACACAAGGACGAATTTTCTCAAAATTATTGTTTCAAATTCTGCTTTTGAAGCATAAATGAGCTGTTTAAATATCTGTGAGTCTTCACTGCGACGAAGGGAGCAAAAACAACCACATGGTATGAAAATGTAACCGGATAATGATAAAAAAATAAAATAAAATAAAAAACGTGATTTTTTTTGCCATTCAGTTGTCCAGGAACGGACTCAAATCCAAGAAAGCTGAAATCAGATTAAAGACCAATTCTTCAACTATTGACGAACCTAGTTAGGAGTCCAGGCCTGCAGGAACCAACAGAAGTCCTGTTTACTGGGATACGTGACGGTGGGAGGAAATAAGTGCGTTGAATATTAATTGTGTCCAGGTGGCAGGTAAAGCTGTGTTCATGCTGTGCAGGTCATTTTAGACAAAACATTTTGTTACAAAAATAAATTAATCTGGCTTAAATCTGTTCTTTCTTCTGCTGAAATTGATGTCTTTTCCTGAACCATGAGCTCATCCTCAGCTGATTTTCCTATTTTTTTAAGATTTTAAATTTAAAGAGAAAACACAACGAATCCCAGTACTGAACTCAAAACACCATACCATACCATGCCAAACCATACCACCATACCATACCATACAATACCACCATGCCATACCATACCAACATGCCATACCATACCACCATACCATACCATACCACCATGCCATACC